GGATGGATGGATGGATGGATAGCAGGGTGTATATGTGGCATAGGTGCCAACTCCGTGGGTGCTCCAGGGCTGAAGCACCCATGGAAAAAAATTGGTGGGTGCTCTGCACCCACCGGCAGCTCCAGCTTACCTCCGCCTCTGCCTCCTCCACAAGCGCACCACCGCGTCCTGCTTCTCCACCCTCCCTCCCAGCGCTTGCGCTGCAAAACAGCTGATTCGCGGGGCAGGGAGGGAGGGGGGAGGAGGGGGAACGCGGCGCGCTGGGGGAAGAGGTGGGGCCGGGACGGGGATTTGGGGAAGGGATCCAATAGGGGCAGGGAGGGGGCGGAGTTAGGACAGGGACTTTGGGGATGGGGTTGGAATGGGGGCGGGGCCAGGGGAGGGGCAAGGGGTGGGGGGCACAAGCACCTACTGGTGCCAGAGAAAGTTGGCGCCTATGATATGTGGATGTGCTTGACTCAAGTTTTGGGTCTAATTTTGGGGTGGTCAGTTCTGGTTCTGGGTCCAGGTTTCTGCCTGGTGGTTCTGGGTCCCAGAAGAGTGGCTCAGGTCTCTACCCTGTGCCATTTCTTCCCCTGTTGCCCAGTGTTGGGGGGGTGGGAGAGAGGTCACATACCCAGAGCCCTACGCAGATGACCAGGATGAAGTAGCCCACGATAACTCCGATGTCAGCAGGGTTGTTGATGACGGCCCTGGGCTGCGGCACCCCCTCCATACTGTTTCTGTCTCTCTCCCTGCAACGAAATGACACCTCCTGGAAGGGTCCCCAGGGGCCAGCATGGATGGTTAATAGCAAACCTGGTCATGGGGCTGGATCTGTGATTAACCAGCCCAGAGACTGCTGGGAGGGGGGAAGTAGAATAGACTGAAGGAGTCCTGACTCCCGAACCCCGCTCTCCGCCCCCGTCCCTCCTCCTTCTCTTGCCATCTCTGCCCCGCCATTCCCTGGTAGCTGGGTGGAGCTGAGCCCATGTTATGAGCCAGCTGAAGCCCTTCTCCTTCTAGGAGAAGCAGAGTGAGGCTGGGCTGAGCCAGGCAGAAACGTACACTGCTGGTGAGTGCCACCTACTACCCTGTGCTCCCTATGGGAGGGGGAGGGGGCTTCTGCCATGGGAGGGTTGTTACAGGGGAGGGGGCAAAGGGGGAGTCAGTTGTGGCAAGGAGGGCTGCAGAAGATTGATTTGTCTTTCCATCCATCCCCATGCAGACCCACCTACATGTCTATCCATCTCTCCACACCCTCCTCTATGTATGCATCCATGCCCCTCATGAACCCAACTACCCATCCATCCCTCTACAGACCCAACTACACATCCCTTCATCACCCTATAGACCCAACTATCCATCCCCCTCTGGATCCAACGACTCATCCCTCTATTGCCCGAGAGACCCAATTATCCATCCCTCCATCACCCTACAGACCCAACTACACATCCCTCCATCACCCTACAAACCCAACTACCCATCCCTCCATTTCCCTACATACCCAACTATCCATCCCACTGTGGGACCAACTACCCATCCATGCGTCCCTCCATTGGACCTAGCTATCCCTCCCTCCATTCTCCTGTGGATCCAACAACCCATCCTTCCCTCCCTCCCTCCCTCCCTCTCTCACCATATGGACCCATCTACCTAACTATCCTTTCCTCCACCCCCCATGGACCCAATTACCCATCTTTCCAACCTCCTATGGATCAACTACTTAACCCTGAAACTCTCTTTGGACCCAACTACCCATCCTTCCATCCCCCTATGGGCCCAACTACCCATCCCTCCATCACCCTATGGACCCAACTACTCAACAATCCACCCCTCCAACCCTCGACAAATCCAACTACCCACCTACCCACCCATCACTATATCCCTTAAGTACTCACCCACAAATCGTTCCATCTCTTCATCTCTGTGATGGGGTGTTCACCCCACACCAGAGAAGAAAGGGTTAATGGAGGCCTCATGGGCCTCCACACCCTGTCCCAGAAGGACGCAAAGGAGGTGAGTCCTCCAAGCAGCCTAGTGAGGCTGCGCAGGAAGCAGCCAATTGGAGGGAGGCTGCACAGAGCAGCCAATCAAGGCCCAGTGGGATCACATAAAAGGAGTTGCAAGGCCAGAGACAGTCAGTTGCTCTGGGGAGCCCAGGGAGTGAGGACTGTGTTCCTAGCAGGTTGCAGGAAAGGTTGCACCGTGGACAGAGCAGTTGCTGGCAGGGACTGGGGGAGCAAGAGGGAGCTGCTGGCTGACTGCTGGGATACTCTGAGAAGAGGGTTAAAGAAGGTGCTGGGGCTGCAGGGAAGTGGCCCGGGGAATAGAAGCAGCATAGAGCAAAGTTAAGGGGATGCAGTTAAGGTCAGGACCCAGAGTAGTGGGTGGACCCGGGTTCCCCCCACTAGCCATTGGGGAAGGGGCTGGACTATTGAACTGAGCTACTTCACCCCTGGAAGGGGGAACACACGCTGATGACATGGCTGGAGGGCAAGAAGAGGACACTGCGGCATAGGTGCCGACTCTGTGGGTGCTCCAGGGCTGGAGCACCCACAGCGAAAAAAACCCCCTATCAGCACCTCTCCCTCCCCCCAGTGCCTCCTGCCCGCCGGCGGGCCCTGCCAATGAGCGCTTCTCCCTCCTCCTCTGCCCTCCCACCTGTGGCAATCAGCTGTTCTCTGGTATGCAGGAGGCTGGAGGGGAGGGGGGAGGAGCGAGGACACAGTGATCGGGGGAGGGGGCGGAACGGGGCAGGAAAAGGAGGGGTGGGGGGTAGTAAGAGGTGGGGCTGTAGCAGGACAGAGCCTTGAGGGAAGGGGTGGAGTGGCTGGGGGCGGGGCCTGGGGCAGAGCTGGGGGTCGAGCTCCCCCTGGCACAAGGGAAAGTCAGCGCCTCTTCACTGTGGTACTTGGACTGAGGCGGGTCTGCAGTCGGAGACAACATCGGGAGAGGCACCGCCTGGAGACGGTGCACTGGATGGCGGAGCTAATTCCTGTGGTGGCCAGCAGGAGGCGCTGCTGTGGTGAGTGGACTCTGTCATACCCAGCTATCCATCCCTCCAGCCCTCTAGGGACCTATATATCCATCCATCCTTCCTTCCAGCCCCCTATGGTCCCAGCTATTTATCGCTGCAGCCACACTATCTATCTATCTACATGTGCCTGTCCATCTGCGCTCGAATGATGCCGGAGCTGGCGTGGAAGGCGCTATCACACACTGCTGTGGCATTAGGCAGCTGCAGCTCCTCATCGACATCATCATGCATGTGGATGCCCCCCCCCCCCCCCGTGCCTTTGGCCTGTCAGCCTGGCTGGCTCTTGCACTGGGGCCAGCGGGAGGTGGCCTGGCTTGGAGCATCACACTGATGGCAAACACTTCTCCGTGGAGGTGAGTGGCGGGGGGTGTGTGTGTGTGGAGAGGCTCAGCGCTGGCAGAGCAGTGCTAGGGGGGACGCTGGGCTGCAGGACGCAGGGGGGCTCAGTAGGGGGCGCTGGGCTGAAGGGAGCAGGGAGGAGGCTCAGCAGGGGGCGCTGTGCTGCAGGGTGCAGGGGGGATCAGCAGGGGGCGCTGTGCTGCAGGGAGCGGGCAGGGGGCTCAGCAGGGGGCGCTGTGCTGCGGGGGGCAGGGGGGCTCAGCAGGGGGCGCTGTACTGCAGGGAGCAGGCAGGGGGCTCGGCGGGGAGCGCCGTGCTGCGGAGGGGTAGGGAGGCTCAGTAGGGGGTGCTTTCCATCTCTCTCTCTCCCCCCTTTAGCTCCACATCCTGGAGTCTCTCCCCAGCTCTGCTCATCGTAGGCTGCCAGCTATGTGGTGCAGGGGCTGAGGGTACGTCTACCTGCCAAGTAGAAACCTGCAGCAGCCAGTCTCGGAGCCGGGCCTGATAGACTCGCCCTTGCGCTCTCGCACTAAACCTAGCCGAGCGGACGGTCGGGCTCAGGCTGGAGTTCGGCTGTGAAACCCACCCCGCTCCCCGGCCTCACAGCCTGAGCTCCAGCTCAAGCCCACGTGCCTACTTGGCTGTTCTTAGAGCCAGAGCCAAGCCCCATGACCCCGAGTCTGTCGGCCCGGGCTCTGAGACTTGCTGCTGCGGGTTTCCGCTGGCCGTGTAGATGTAGCCAGAGCCTCCACCTTCACCTGCGGGCTCGGTTCTCACTGAGGCGTCTGGGTCCTGCCAGAAATAACAATACCCCTAATGGCTTGGTCAGTGTCTTGAATGAGTCCTCTGCGCTTTGCTGCGGATATTGACCTAACGGAGTCGTTGCATGAGGAGGTGCAATAATTGCTCAGAAGAGTTGTGCAAGCAGAGACGTTTGGTGTAAAGATGTCGCCCAACGACAATGGTGACAGCTGGGTCTGTTGAAAAGGAGAAGATCTTCACACCAAATCTGAGGAGGCACCAGCATGCGCGGAGCCCGTCAGATACCTGGGTAGCGTGACCCCAAGGGACGTAGCGATCTGACATAGAATCGGACTCGGAACGGCGGCTCTAGTGACACTCGGCCGCTTTGGAAAAGCAAAGGTGTTACCGGAAAGTGTCCAATGAAATTGCTGCAGTCTCTGGTCTTCAGCATCTTGCTAGATGCATGTGAGACATGGACGCTAAAGATACGGGACAGCAGGAGACTAGCCCTTCAACATGAAATGCAATTGCTGTGTGTTAGCTCTACTTCGCACACGACTAAGAGAGAGGTAATTGCCCGGATCTGTGGCATAACCGGAGGGATCCTGGATAGCACTGAGGCCATCAGATGAAGAAAACTGGAGTTTGCAGGCTGAGTGGGTCGGAGGAGCGGAGGGAGATTGCTGGAGGAAGTGTAGCAGGGACTGGTGCCAGGGGCAGGGGTGAGTGTGGACCGGGAGTGGTATGGTGCGCTGCTCAAGGCTGTGTGAAGACCACGAAACGCAGAGGAAGTTTGTTGGCCAATGCCTCCCATGTGTTGTGTTTACTGTCCGTGGTGACAGGGCTGGGTGGTGCTTTGCACTGCGAGAGCACGGGGGCATGTAGACGTTTCGGTACCCATCTGCCTGCCAGACCTGCCGTCCCCCGGTGCCATGGTAGCAAACAACACCCCCGCTTGAGCTGGAACCCTGCTTGAAAAGAGAGGGGCTGCTGGTGGGCTGTCCTCTGCGAAGGACCCAGGGGTCATTTCAATAGGGTTCCCATAGGTCCGGGTTTTCCCAGACAGCACAGCGGCCAAAACCTTTCTGAGCCTCAGCTCTACTAAAACTTGACCACAGAAGTCATAACAACGAAAACCCTGTTTGCTCAGGCTTCTGTGCTTGCAGTCCAGAAGGGATCATTCTGTTTTGTTGACTGGCATTTTGGTGGTGGTGCTGTAATTTATTTTAAACCGTGGTAGTGCCTGCAATGTCCTGCCCCCTGTGATGGGACTGTCACCTGATGTACTGGAATTACCTCGGAGCCCATTTTCCCTGCCAGCTTGGTACTCCAGAACCCTGCCTTGTTAAGCCAGACATGCTAGCCTGCTGTAACATAGACCCAGGGTCTGGGCCATGCTCCCGAAGCTGCAGACTTTAACTAAAAACATCTCAGCAGGTTACCTATCTCCAGCACCTAGACACCCAGCTCCCAATTCAATCCAAACCCCAAATAAATCCGTTTTACTCTGTATAAAGCTTATACAGGGTAAACTCATAAATTGTCTGTGCTCTATAACACTGAGAGAGAGAGATGCACAGCTGTTTGCTCCCCCAGGTATTAATCACTTACTC